TTAAAAAAAAAATTTTCACATATAAAAAAAATCCATGCAAGTATATGTATGGCATATCTGGTTTAAAAACCTTCTTCTTCACTCAATACATAGGTATGTTTTCCTATATCACCAGAAAAGCATCCAAAACGTTACAAATGATTGCATCATATATATAATTAGTCTTTTAAACTTCTCCCTAGTTGAACTGAGATGTTTCCAAAGTTTTGATGTAATAAAGCTTTACTATATACCAGCAAGCATGAATCTTTGTCCTTACTTATGATTAACTAAATGGAATTACTGGCATTAACTTTTTTTAACAGTGTTATTGAGATACAGTTTGTATACCATAAATTTTACCTTTTAAAATTGTCTAATTCAATGGTTTTTAGTATATTCACAGTTGTGCAACTAGCACCATTATCTAATTTAGAACATTATCACCACCCCAAAAATAAACCCATACCCATTAGCAATCACTCCCCATTTTTTCCCAGCACCTAAAAAGGTATTAACTTTTTAAGTATCTTAATACATGTTGCCAAATTACTTTCCAGAATGCCTGTCAAATGTACGTTCCTATCAACCATGTCAGTTTTTCCATAACTCCCCAGAACTAAATAGTATCATTTTTAAAAACCTAATAAGCAGAAATTAGTAACTCACTGCCATGTACATCAGAATTTTTTATTACTAATGAATGAAAATTGATATATCCATTGATTATTACTTTTTGTCCTTTTGTAAACTGTCCTCCCCTTTATTAGGGGCTAAAATCCAATTAATTATCAGTCTAAATAAAATATTCCTTGGAAAAACAATCTGGTGTCCAGAAAAATCATAAGAAATTCCAAAACTAAATTTTTTTGAGGTTAACTATACCATGGATTCTTAGTATTAGTACAGGTAAATTAGAGTTTGCTATAATCATAAAGTTTATGCATGTGTGAGGCTATAATCATAAAATAAATATCACATGTCTATTTTCAATCAAAGAAGATACTATTTCTGGGTTCTTTTGTTATTACAGAGTAAGCTTTTCTCAGTGGCCCTTCAGAACAAAGCATCCCATCCTTATAGGGACATAAAGCCCATTATTGTACAGCACTTGTGGCTGGCTGGTTAATGAGCCTGTCACTGGTAAATGAGAATGAAAAAAATTAACTCAACCAATGTCATGTAGTGATAGTTACTGCTTGCACAAAACCAGAAATGACACCAGCTAGCTGCTATGACCCCTACCTTATGTTAATAGACAGAAAGCACCCAACCTTATAATTAGGACAGATAACAACTGATGGCAAAAGAGAGGCAAAAAACCCCCAAGGCATCCTTGGGAGTCTTCTTGGCTACTAAAAGCAACAAGAATCCTCCAAAGACTCTCATCCCAGACATTTGTTCAACAGATTTCATCTGAAACTTTGTGTAAATTTTTTTTCACAGAACAAATGTTTCTTAAATGGGCTCTCCCTTCCATTTCCTGTTCCCCACTGTTTTTTTTCTCCAAGTGGAACCTCTTAAATCAGAATTTCTATATACCTTTAATCACTTCTTGGGTCATTTTTTTTATTTGGGGAGGTGGGGTGAGGAGAGGAAATACCCTGGATTTTTTCAATTGTGAAAACAATAGATTTCATAATCCCCCTGAGAATACAGTATGGTTAACTCAGACTAGTGACTGTGAAAGCAGATCCCAACAGAAAATCGACCTGTGGATTGTTCTAAATCAGTATCTGAATTTAAAGTCCACCTAGAATCATAGAATGTTAAAAACTGGAAAGGCAGTTAATTTAAAAAAAAAATTTTTTTTAAAGAGAAAAAAAAAACAACACAAAAAACTGGAAAGGAGCTCAGCAGTCATCTAGCCCTCCTTGAACCATGTGCTATTCACTGAAGAGGTGCTTGGAGTTCACACACATTTCTAGGCTCCTCTGTCCTTCCCTTATCTCCAAGGTCTGGGTTAAACTAAAAAGTTACTTGAACATGTTCTTCTTTTCTGATCCTGTCAGGATTACACTCCTGCTGACTCAGATATTCTTCCCCCAAATCACTCATTTACAGGTGGTGTTGAGGTTAATGAAAAAACAAGCAATTGGAAAGAGAGGCCTGACATGTCTGTTATTGTCCTAGAGATAATAACATCTCTGTTATTGCTTCTGTGACCAGAAGCAATGTAAGCGGAAGATCTCTGATATGATCTCCATAATTTCTCTGGAACTTGAAAGAAAAAGAGTGAAAGCCTTGAAATACTATAGTAGCAAGGCATCTACATCTATCTCTACCTTTGTGTTGTTGTTTTCATTAAGAGGGCACATTCACAGGTACAGAAAAACCTTCACTGAGAATGCAGAACAATGAAAGCTACCTACCTGAATTCTGATTTTTGTCGTCCTACCCAATCTTATAATACCTCAAAATGTATAAAACACCTGTTAGTGATATATTATTATTCAAAGCAATATAAAAGAAAAATATTTCAGAACTGATTTCTCTCTGACCTGAGCCAATTATTCTCTTTCATTTCCTAAACACTTAAAATGTCCAAGAATTAAACACTCTTCGACGTTCCGAATTGAAATGTAAGCAAACACCCATATTCAATATGATGCTACTGAAATGTGAAGTCTTTCATTTTGAACCTCAAACTACCTTCCGAGGAAGCACATTTCCTAAAACAAACGCTCCTGGGAACTCCAATGCCAAACTACCTTAACCTCTGGACTATCAGTCATTCTGTACCCTTCATAAGTATGTGAACTCTCCATAAATAGAATACCCATTTGCCCTTTCAATCTCAAAAGTCACACCTTCATTTTGCTATATCTCTCCCCCACCTACTTAGAGTGTCATGAAAATCACAAGAGTTAACTGTGTTCTGGATACACAGCAGGCAAGCTACCAGGAAATGCCCGAGATAAAGACCCATCACAACAATGCTTAAGAGACCAAGAGTAGGAAAAAAGGACTTGCATGGGCTTCTAAACATAGCATGTTAATAAACTTAAGTAAACACTGTCCAGGGGGCCAGCAAATTAAGGCTGACAATGTAACATTTAAAGATGTGTCTCAGTCAGAGTAGCTCCTTATGTGTAGACCTCCACCTGCACTCTACTTCAAACATCTCTCTCAGGCAAGGGGCATGTGGAAAGCCCCCTCCTCAAAAATAATAACATACACGCTACTGATCCATTTGCATTAATAAGCCCTTGCTTTATCAGGATTCATTTAAATCCTGATCAAGTTTTTAAACATCAGCCAGTCACACTTTGATACAAATTGGTTTACTGAGGGCCAACTTTTTTCCTGGGAGTACAATTCTAATGCAGGAAATGAAGTTTTGACAGGATGATCTGGGGTTAGGGGTCAGGATGGGGAGGCAGTAGGAAAGAAAGAAAAGGTCATTTTGGTAAACACTCCTGGATGAAATGCTACAGTTAAGGGTTTCTGGCAGGGAGCAACAGGAGAAAAGTTAAGTACCTAGGGATCAAGGAAGCACTACCAAAAGAAAAAGAAGAAGAAAGAAAAAAGAGACGGGAGAGATGGAGACAAAGAAAAGAAAAAGAGAGAGAAAGAAAGAAAGAAAGAAAGAAAGAAAGAAAGAAAGAAAGAAAGAAAGAAAGAAAGAAAGAAGAATGCTGTAAAAAGAAAAGTTTACCATCAAGCTTACTAAAGACTCTGGAAACAACAAATGGCAGACGACTGTGACAACTTTAACCTGAGTCTCCTTCGAACAGTGAGAGGATTAACTTAATCGCTGAACACTGTCTTCCTGTCAATGAACTTGGAATTGTTTTGCTCCAGCTGACTGAAAAACCTTCTTTCAGAGAATGGATAATAAATGTTTTGGCTTTAAAACCATGAATTTGAAGAGGAAAGCTATGTTTAGCAAAACCAAAAAATGTTGGAAACACAAACCTTCTTCCGTTTCAGCTTTATCCAGAATAGTCTTATTTCATTCAGCTGTAGAAGCACCCCCACCCCTACACTTCAGTTCCCTGGGAATTTGATCCATAATATTTCCCTCAATCTGCTTGGCAGATCCTGTGAAGACCTAAGTCCACTTTAGGTAATGACAACTGCGAGAATCAACAGTTCCATTTCACAGAGCATGACACATACAGATTCAAAGTGTATTTCGAGTCCCACTTCCACCGCAGGAAAACTCGCACACTGTTAGACACACTCAATTACCGTGGCTAAGGATGCCTCCCTCTCCAATTCCTTGGAACAGGGAGAGTTGCAATCCTAAGAGGTTTTCAAACGGGTGAAATCTCTCAATCACTATTTCACAACTGCTCTTTAAAAGCTTAACACTTTCTCTCAAGTTGCAGTTCTGGAGTCTCTCATTGATGCTCAGACTTCACAAACTTCCTTGAGTGAGCTAATTCTGATTCAGACCAATAGAGCTTGTTTTCGTATCACACTTATGGATGATATCTTTTCAAGACCTCAGGCCTCACGCATCTACCCCAATAACTACTAAAATCTCTGGAGACAGTCTTCAAACCACATTTGAGCAGACAGGAGCAGGGAGGTGATGACCCTAAAGAGACCCAGCTTTCCCTGGCTAAAATGAGGCGACCTCGCTCACCGCGAACGGCTCAAGACATTGCTCGAAGCTCCTGCCACATCCAGATGTGCGGGGCGAGGGTGCGGGAGCAGGTAAAGCAGGGAAGACAACTGGAAGGCCCTACGGAGAACTGCGATGCCAAAGCCTGCAGGTGGGATGAAGTGGAAGTGAGGCAAGATTAGACAGGAAGGAGCCAGTGCAGCGAAGAAAACAGGTGAGGCGAGAGGTAGTGCCCTAAAGAAACCTGACGAATTCGCTCCTCGAAGGATTTCAGAGGGTCCAGTTTCTCACCAGAAAGCCGCATTCAGCCCCAGGCACCACAGGGCGCTCCTGGCTGGCCGCTCCCACACCAGGGCTGCCTGCACCCGGCTCAACAGAGGCTCGTAAGGCCCCAGCACCTCCACCAGGGCCCGCTGCGCCGCCTCAACCTGCTGGTCCCGCTCCAAGGAGCCCGACATAGCGCCGCGGCCCCTGAAAGTCGGCCCCGAAGCTGGGTCTGGGGCCCCAGCCACCCCCTCTGCCTCTGCCATCTCCCCCAGGCAGCCACCACATCCGGGGCCACGGCCCGACAGTCACAATAACACCAACTGCGCAGAAGCACGATTCAATCGGGGGAGGTCGCTTCCCTCCACACTGCGCCTGCGCATGGGTTCTAGCTGGCGTCCACCCAGAGAAAACGCTGCGTCAAAACATGTCCCCCTCTCACCAGCACAGCGCCCGATCCGGTGCCGCGCACGCGCAGCCTGTATTAGTGAAGCCAAATGAATAAGAAAGCACCATCGCCAGAACTCACTTCTCATTGGAGCGGAGAAAGTTCGTGGGCGGAGCAGGTTGTTTGGCGCCTGCGTCGTACGGCAGGCGGGCTGGCTGACGGCGGCATTGCTAGCAGGAGTGGCTGCAACGCCGGTGCCTGAAGAGCGATGCCGAGGGAAATCATCACCCTACAGTTGGGCCAGTGCGGCAATCAGAGTGAGCGAACCTCCGGCCCCTCCACTAGTCAGGTTCCTTAGATTCAATGGGATCTCGCTGTGGGATACTAAACCACCATCTGCCCTTACCAGAATCGTAGTTCTCCAAAACGCGGGACATGCCTGACCCAGTGTCCAGTTACCCAATCCCGAGAGCTTTCCCTGCCCAATCGCTGGCATGCAGCCCTTTCCTCTGTCATGGGAGACTCCTGAAGCTTGACTTCCTATCCCTGGACCCAGGCGCTCAGTCCCCCAGCTCCTAGTTGGAACCTGCCCAGACCTAGATATCCTCTTTCTCCTCCGCCCGCCTCCCCCCTCCAGTTGGGTTCGAGTTCTGGAAACAACTGTGCGCCGAGCATGGTATCAGCCCCGAGGGCATCGTGGAGGAATTTGCCACCGAAGGCACTGACCGCAAGGACGTCTTTTTCTACCAGGTGCTCCCAGCGACTGGGCCAGGGCCGGCAGGGGCCCAAGGGGCCTGAAGTGAAGGGCAGAGGCTTGGTACTGGGAAACCCGCTGAGCAAAGGAGCCAGGGCTGCTGGCTTGAGGAGGGAGGGCAAGCAGGAGCCAGAACTGAGAGGACGGAGGACTGGGCAGGCCTTTGCTGATTGGGTTTCTTCCTGGACTCCCGTTGACAGGCAGACGATGAGCACTACATCCCCAGGGCTGTGTTGCTGGACCTGGAGCCCCGCGTGATCCACTCCATCCTCAACTCCCCCTATGCCAAGCTCTACAACCCAGAGAACATCTACCTGTCGGAGCATGGAGGAGGAGCTGGCAACAACTGGGCCAGCGGATTCTCCCAGGTCATTTGCTGTTCCCTGGCAGGACCCACAATACCCTTCCTGTGTGGGGACAGGCCCAGTGACTTCCTAGAGAGAGATGAAATTAGATGGAGGATGTTAAGAGGGGGAGAAGAGAGAGAGAGATGACTGAAGGGACTTTTTTTCTCTAAGTCAGCTATGTAATACTGTTAAGAGACTACACTAGCTCGTGGTGTGTGACAGGCCATACTAAGTGCTAACATATATTAACTTACTTAAACCTCTCAACAACTCTAGAGGTAAGTAGTACAGGCCGACAGACTTTTATCTGCCTTTCCAGAATCCAAAAACCTCTGAAAGCAAAAGATGATGTATAACTCATTTAGCAGCAAAACCAAATCTCAATGGAGACAGGCTATTTTATAATTTCTATCCAATTTGTTGTCATTACTTATACCTTTCTTTGCAGAAATATTAATGTATGTGATTAGTGCACCTCAGACCCCCACTGACATTGTACTTAAAATACATTCTATGTACCATATTACCTTTGTAGCATCTAAAATATTTGAATTCTGAAACATACGCCCCAAGAATTTTGGATAAGTGTATATGGACCTGTATTATTGCCTTCATTGTACAGATGAGGAAACTGAGATACAGAGAGAATAGGTAACCTGTCCAGAGTCACAACTAGAGCTAATGTATGAACCTAGGCAGTCTGGATGTAGAGTGCCTGTTCCTAACCACTGTGCCATACTGCCTCTCAATGGGATTAAAAAACAGGGCCACTGTGCTCCAAAAAAGGACTTCTAGGTGCTATAAGGAGAATCGAGGGTCGCTATTGTGAGGTCAGAGTCTTTGTCTCGTGGTCCTGTACAGGGAGAGAAGATCCATGAGGACATTTTTGACATCATAGACCGGGAGGCAGATGGCAGTGACAGTCTAGAGGTAAGTGTCTCAGCACTGCTGATAGGAACCGACAGGGAAGGCTCAGCAATACCCTTTAGAAGCCATCTGTTAGGTGTAAGACTCACCTATGTACCCTTTGCATTGGGCAGAAGCCACCAACCTTGCTGGAAATAAGGCAGGCCCCTAAGCTCTATGTGTGGGGGGAGGAAAGTGCAAGATAGAAGTCTGAGAAATTGTGGGAGGGTCCAGTTTGAAACCCTGCCATTAGATACCTAGACACTGACTGCCCCTTTCCCATGTAGGGCTTCGTGCTGTGTCACTCTATCGCTGGGGGAACAGGTTCTGGCCTGGGCTCCTACCTCTTAGAACGGCTAAACGACAGGTACGTCTGAATTTTGAGGGGCGGTGAGGCCTTGGTTTCCCAAGTGACTGGGAGTCCCTTCAGATATGCCTTGCTATTCACTGGAGCAGGAAAGGGCCCTTCTCCCACTCCCGCAGCTTGGAACCAGACCCTACCATCTAGGTCCTAGATGAAGAGATGAAGGTTCAGGGAGTATGGACAGTTTGGATTTGGAACCCTAGATCCTAAGATGTCTCTTTGGGAAACTTACAGACTTCCAGAAGTCAAGCCTCCCTTCTCTACTGATCCCGTGGCCCCACACCAATTTCCCCGTCCAGATTCAGCTGTTTACAGACAGTTGTTGGAAGCCCCATGTTTATTAAGCATCCAGCCTGTCGCCCTGACCCTCTTCTCCCAACCCCCACCAGATACCCCAAGAAGCTGGTGCAGACGTACTCAGTGTTTCCCAATCAGGACGAGATGAGCGACGTGGTGGTCCAGCCCTATAACTCACTGCTCACACTCAAGAGGCTGACCCAGAATGCAGACTGTGTGGTGAGTCCTGGATTCTACCTTTTCCTACTACCAATACCCCTGTCTGTTTCATCATTTTCATACATTTAAAATTTTCATCTTGAGATCTTCTGGGCCCCAGTGCTATTCAAATCCCTTTTGGATAGGTCTTTCTGGCTGTGATGCTCAAAGGAAATTGAGCTTCAGAGCCCTGGCTCAGGCAGAGCTCATATTCTTTCTGTTCTCAAAAATCTGCCACCCTCTTCTGTCCCCCCAGGTGGTGCTGGACAACACTGCCCTGAACCGGATCGCCACAGACCGCCTGCACATCCAGAACCCATCCTTCTCCCAGATCAATCAGCTGGTGAGCCCCCACCCCTGGACTCCTTTGGGCTGCAATGCCGCCTGGGGAAGGGAGGCCAGCCCAGGCAAGACGTGTGACATGGCACCCGTGTCCCCAGGTGTCCACCATCATGTCGGCCAGCACCACCACCCTGCGTTACCCCGGCTACATGAACAATGACCTCATCGGCCTCATCGCCTCGCTCATCCCCACACCGCGGCTCCACTTCCTCATGACTGGTTACACCCCCCTCACCACGGACCAGTCGGTGAGAAGGGCCCTCAGGATCCCAGACCAGGCTGGCCCTGGGGCCCGCAGGCCCTGCGCTAGCCTTTCTCTTCTCCCTGCTGCCCCAGGACCTGCCCTTTGCAGCCCCCAGAGGCTCTGTGCTCAGGGACTGGCACAGACTGTACGACTTCCTTGCTGACTTGCTCTCCTGTGTCCCTGTGCCTTTGGCTCCCTGCAGGGCCTGGGCTATACGGGGTCTGCTTATGCTCCTGCACAGGGGCATGAGTTTGCTGAGCTGAGGAGGGCTAAGCTTCGTGATCCCACAGCAGAGGCTCAGTATAGACCTGAATCCAAAGACACTCCCCAAAGAGACCATACTGCCCCGAGTCTGGTGGGGGACACGTGCCGCCTGCTCTTCTCTCTCCGCGCATCCCCGCACCATGCCCTGAGCGCTGGCCTGGTCCCTGTGGCCCACTCTCCCCTCAGGTGGCCAGCGTGAGGAAGACCACGGTCCTGGATGTCATGAGGCGGCTGCTGCAGCCCAAGAACGTGATGGTGTCCACCGGCCGGGATCGCCAGACCAACCACTGCTACATTGCCATCCTCAACATTATCCAGGGGGAGGTGGACCCCACTCAGGTAGGTGAGGCCCCTCCGTTCCACCCCTGGAACCTGCAGGGGTAGAGGAGAGGCGACCACCACCACTCCTATGCCCACCCCAGGTCCACAAGAGCCTGCAGAGGATCCGGGAACGGAAGTTGGCTAACTTCATCCCCTGGGGCCCAGCCAGCATCCAGGTGGCCCTGTCGAGGAAGTCTCCCTACCTGCCCTCTGCCCACCGGGTCAGCGGGCTCATGATGGCCAACCACACCAGCATCTCCTCGGTGAGTCTCACGGTTTGCATCTATCGTCCCATAACCATTTTCCTGGTTATGCCTCACCTCTCTGCATTCCTGCTGCTCTGCTTCTGGGTTTTTTACTGTGGAGATAGCCCAGCCTTGGTTCCCTGGCTCTCTGGGCCATATTGTTCCTCGAAGTTCTTTGTGACCCCTGCTTTTTGCACATCCCAAGCTCTTTGAGCGGACCTGTCGCCAGTATGACAAGTTACGGAAGCGGGAGGCCTTCCTGGAGCAGTTCCGCAAGGAGGACATCTTCAAGGAGAACTTTGACGAGCTGGATACATCAAGGGAGATTGTGCAGCAGCTCATTGACGAGTACCACGCAGCCACGCGGCCAGACTACATCTCCTGGGGCACCCAGGAGCAGTGAGTCCCCCAGGACAGGGACCCTCATCTGCCTTACTGTTTGGTCCAGGCCCCACCTGATTGACCACTCCCCTCAGCACAGATCAGGGACCTTGCGCATCTCTTTCTCATAAACACACATACATGTACTCTCTGTTGACCTGGGGACACATTTATTTCTTCTCTCATGAGACTATTTATGTTTAATAAAGCACTGGATATAAGTCAAGTCACTGGTCTCTTTGAAGACTTGGAGAACTGGAGAAGGGTAATGCCTGGCCCCTCTCCATCATT